GGGGGCGGGCGCTCCTACGGGTGCCGCCGTGGGCACCATGGTGGGTAGTACTGATTGAGCTGGAGCCGTGGTGGCTGCCCTAGAAAGGATCGGCGTCGTTGGCAATGGTGATACCGGCATGGCCCACGGGGCCGATGCCAGTACTAGAATCGGTGCCGAAACTTGCAGCAGTGCTGAAGAGGGTGGTGCCGATGACTATACTGGCACCCCGGGCAAGAGGCCCGGTGCCGGTACTGCTGACGGTGCCACATGGCCTGAGTAATATGGCACCGGCGCAGCTAAAACCGGCTCCGGGAGAGGTCCCAGCACCGAGGAAAGTTGAGTCCAGCCGAGCGCCGGGTGAGGCCTGGCAGCCTGTGCCGAGTCCGGCAACAACGTAGAGGCAAGTGGTACTGGTCCCACAGGGGATGGTCCCACTGCATACATGACAGCTGCCAACCAATCCAACCGGTGCGGAGGAGAAACCGGTGCCAACATGGCTCCCAGCGTAGAAGCCCTTGACCTCTCTGCCTCAACAGACGATGGAGGACAGGTAGTGAGGCTAATCAAGTCCTACGCCGCCTCAGAAGTCTCCAGTGTCGAGGGACGATACGAGGGTACGGACTGGATGGTCGGCCCGCTCGCTTCCACCACACAGCAGCACTTGGAGACGTCTGCACCAGCGAGGCATAGCAGCGACGTAGGCCTGACCTGGAGTTCTGGCTCGGAGACCTACCCCGTAAAGCCTTTAGTTTCTTCGGTGCCAGGGAGTGAGAACAGTGCCGAGCCCTTGGTACCGAAGTCCGTGCACGGGATGGGGCGTCTCGTGTCAACGCCGGTGCATTGCGCACCGTGGAGTAGCCAGTCGGTGCTGGTTGAAGAGCCACCTCCACAAGGAGAAGCTTCAAGTGCGAGTCTCGCTCCCTCTTCGTGCGCGGCTTGAACGACCTGCAGATCTTACAGGCATCTGCAGAGTGGCCCTCAACCAAACACTTTAAGCAGCTATCGTGAGGGTCTACCTTAAGCATGAACTTGGCACATGTTTCACAAGCCTTAAAGCCTTGCAGCCCTGGTATTCCTCACCCCCGAAGGGGGGAAGGAAACAAAGAACTCGCTAACTATCTAACTAATTAAAACTATTTACAACTATTTACAAACACTACACTAAGAGAAACGGGAACCATTAACTACTCTGAGAGAGAGACATGCTCCAACGACCGTCACGGGTGGTAAGAAGGAATTAAGGAGGGGGAGCACTGGCAGGGGTACTTATGCTCTGTTATAGCGGTGCTATTCCAGGGGGCGCCCTGCCAGCACTATGGGTACCGCTAGAGAAAACACTCCGGAGATGCGGTGCAAACCATAAAACCATCTCGTCAGGACTCTTTCACAAACCCTACGGTAGGGACATTTGGGGTGTGTTGGAGGTAGGGGCACAGTCTACAGCCCAGAGAGGCTCCCAAACTTAGATCAGCTCCCCAGCACTGCTTAAGTTACTCCCCCTGTTAGGACCTTGGAGAAGTCCAAAATTAGAGGATTCAAAGGTAGCTTCCTACAAGTTCTGTGCTATGCCTCTGAACTAAGCCATTAACAATCTCACCCACAGCTGCACACCTTGGTGACATAAATAGCTCTAGGAGAAACTATTTGTTAGGCACAGGGTTTACAAGTTTGTTATACTAAACACACTGTACTCATTTAGTAAAGTGCTTTTTAAGTAGAATTAAATTTTTACAAATTATTTTTCTTCTTACTATGAGCTCAGTTTTCTCATGTCTCGGACATCAATTCTGCAAATCACTAAAAGATTAACTGAAATATTCCAAGTCTTCACAAGTATTTGGCTCTGAAATAGATGTAAAAATCTCACAAAAATTTGAAACATATCAGTAGAAAAGACTACATATCTATTTGCTGGTACTTGCAGTCAATAGCTTTGTGTCCTATTAAAAATGAGAGAACCACAAAGCTCTGCCAGCCATAAGAAATACTGAAGGAGATGTTTGTCCCTGAAAGTAGAGGGTGCCACCATCTTCCTTGAAGTCAGCTTGACTTCATTCCTACTGGGAAGAACTGGAGATGGTAGCCATTTCAAAAGAGGTCTTAAAAAAACCCAACTGGCGCTCGCTCAGTTGCATTGCTCTCAGTGAGAATAATAGGAGACGGCAGATATTTTGAAAGAGGGCATTTCTTTATAGTATTTTTTTTTTCTTAACACATTTATCAGACACCTGTTGTAGGAAAAATTTTCAGTTACAAAGAGTGAAAATGACAATTTACCCTAAAAAAATTTAAAACTTGGCCAGTGCACAAGTTTTCAGTGAGTTTTAATTATGTGGGAAAGTTGGAGGGGGCTGCATTATTAAGATCATTCATGTCATAAAAGTGATCTGACAGCATATTAATTAAAAAATGGCCTTTTAGGAAAGTCAAACTAATTAACAGCTTTATTTATAAATTCTCACAAAATTCAGGAATAGGCTGTATAGTAGCTAAATTCCTGCTTTAAATGGAAACTCATTTCATTCTTAACTATAGAATCACAAAAAGGGATCCCATGATATTCTTTTATATTTACAGTCACGTTTCCATATATAATTTTTAATAATGTTAATTTAAACAAAACAAAGCCACTTCATGTATAACAGAACAGCCTGTCAAGCTGGTATCAAAGATGATGATTTCTACCTCCTCTTTCTTCTTTTTCTCAGACTCTTCAGATCTTTTCTTCTTTAGCCATTCTTTATATTTTTCTTTAGCTTTTTCCTGCAATTGGACTTTCTCTAGATCTCTCGCTGCTTTTTCTGCCATTTTTTTGATGAGCTTTCGTTCCTTTTCCCTTCTTTCCTACACAAAATAGCAACAAAGAAACAATCTTTTCAGAATTTTCAAGAGGTCATTATTGGCTCCTCCTTATAACGAGAAGTTATCATGGATATCCAAGTAGAACGGATACAAGCTTGAGAAATCACTCTTGCAACAGCTTAGAATTTTGGTTTGAGAACAGCAACTAGACACCAACATTTGGAGATAAAATAGTGTTAAAGCATAAGGTTGGTATAAAATGCAAGTGAAATCCAGCTTCAACACTCACTGCAATATTTTATGTTTCCCATAAAAGAAAATTAAACAAAGAAGACACATTTCATGCCAAATATAAAATTACTTTGAGAAAGTAAAAGGAGCAATTCTTTAACACTATAATGTAGTTATTAATGAAGAAACCTTTCAGTGAATCTCCTAGAACAGGAATGGGTAAGCTTTGAATTAAACAAAGAAGACACGTTTCATGCCAAACATAAAATTACTTTAAGTAAAAGGAGCAATTCTTTAACACTATAATGTAGTTATTAATGAAGAAACCTTTCAGTGAATCTCCTAGAACAGGAATGGGTAAGCTTTCTGGCCTGAGGTCACACCGGTATGGAAACTGTATGGCAGGCAATGAGGGTGTGTCTAGACTACAGGGTTTTTTTTCGATAAAAGTGGCCTTTAAAAAAAAAAAAAACCACTTCCCCTCAACTTCCCCTGCATCTAGACTGCTGCCATATTCTTTCAAAAGAAAAGCAAAATAACATGGCAGTTTTTTCCAACCGCGGAAACCTCGTTTTACAAGGAATAACACCTTTTTTTGAAAGTGCTCTTTCGAGAAAAGGCACCATGTAATGCAAACTGTGCTTTTTCAAAAGTACTGGTTGCAGTCTAGACACTCTTTTTCAAAAGAGGCTCTCTCTAAAGTATCTTTTGAAAAAGCCTTTTTCGAAAGAGGCTTGCAATCTAGATGTAGCTGGAATGCTCACAAAGCTGGGGTATGGGGTGCAGGAGAGAGTGAGGGTTCTAGACAGAGGTGTGGGCTCTGAGGAGGGAATAGAAATGAGAGTTCAGAGTGGAAGCAGGGGCACTGGGACGAGACAGGTGATTGGGATGTGGGAGGGTAGAGGGTTCCAGGTGGAGGGGTGGGCTGTAAGTGGGGCAAGAGATGAAGGGTTTGGGGTACAGGATGATGCTCTGGGCTGTGATGAGGAATTCAGAAGGTGGGAATATGAGGGGAGTGTGGGCTATGGGGCTGGGCTGGTAATGAGAAGTCTGAGGTATAGGAGGATGCTTTGGGCTGGAGTTGAAGGGTTTGGATGGCAGGAAGCCATTCAGGGCTGGAGAGCACTGGGGTACCTCAAGCAGTTTCAGAAGCAGTAGCATGTCTCCCTGTCTGTCCTGCTCATACAAAGAGGCGTCGCCAAGTGGCAGTTCCCGGCCAATGGGAGTTGCAAAGCTGGTGCTTGAGGTGGGGGCAGCATATGGAGCCCCCTTCTGCTCCTACTTTCATAGCTATGTGGAGCCTTGGCACACATGGAACGGGACAAGCCTCTGACCCCCCCACACCCTAGTTGAAGCTCCAGAGCCAGAGTAGGCTGGATGCAGTTCACCTACCCCATCTCTTGCCTCAAATCTATGACTGAGTGGAACCCAGGTTAAACAAACATTTTGGCTGGGAACCACAGAGATTTGTGGTTTGTTTGAACCTGAAATGCCAGCAATGGAAACTCATGCAGAAATCTAATTAAAAACTAAACCAAACCAAGCCATGTTTATAATGAAAATTAGATCGATATTTCATGACACTCACCCATACCATCTTTTGATACCATCTTACACAATACTCTTATGGGAACAGGTTAACTAATGAATGTATATCAATTACGGATCGCTTTATGTTGCATAAGTATCTGTAAGCATCTGATTAAAAGTGGACTATTGTGAGTCACTCTGTATCAACAAAGTCTGGCTCCAATGTATTTAACTATAAATGAAAAGTTTCTAAGTTAAATACATAGTATGATGGTAAATAGAGGGAATATAGAACTTGTTTATACTTGGTGCTGTCAGATCCTGTCACAACTCCCTTTGATTCAGGTTCATTAATATATAATGTCTGTTCCAACTGCTGTGAGAAGAGAAAAAGATATTTGTTGTGGGTGTCAGACTCAGAAAATCCCAGGGAAGGGAGTGTATTTCTTCAATACCTTTTACTGCTCCTGGATGACCACATTATAATGGAGTCCCCATAAACCTAGCATATCACACCTAAAACCATTCATCCTTGAAAAATGACGATTATCAAAAACTACCTAAAAACTATCCCTGCATTAAAATTACCACTACTAGAAATTAATTGCAAATCTATCTACAGAGATCTGGAGATAAAGTCTGACCAATTCAGACCTGAGAACAGGTTAGACCTCATTTGTCCTGCACCCTTGGGACCTGACTAGTACCAAAAGAGGGGATTTGCTGGACCAAGGAAGGTCCCACCCCTCGTGGCCATGCTGCCATTCGGGTAGGGCTCAAGCCTGCCCAAGCTGCTGCCCAAGTTCACCGGGGCTCTCTGGTGGAGAACCACAGCCACAGCTCCACAACTGCCTGGCTCTGCAGCTAGGGCAGAGCTCTGCACTTGCCTGGCTCCACAGCTGGGATCAGAGCTCTGCAGCCGGGGTGAAAGGATAGGGCTGGAGCTCTGTGGGCTGGGCTAGAGCTCCCAGGCTGCCACTGGGGATGGAGTTCCCTGGCCGCTGGAGCAAGAACATGGCCATTAACTATGTGGCCAGGGCCAGAGCTCCATGGGTGCTGCTGCAGTGGGAGCTCCCTGGCTGAGGCTGGAGGTCCACAGCTGCAGCCAGGCTAGAGCTTCCCAGTCTCTGGGGCCAGAACTCCCCTCATCATGCCATCCGTCTTCCCCCACCCACTCTGGGCTCCCAGCTGAGTGACCAACTCCTGCCTGGACACCTGACCTCCCTCCTCCTGGGCTCTGTAGTCCAGGAACATCTGTGGTTCATACTGGACCACGGATGTTGCCGAACCAGGGAGTCCCAATTAAGGGAGGTACAACCTGTACTGCCTGCAGCTACTACGCCGTCTACAGAAGTAAGAAAAAAAACAGAAGCGGCTTGGGCTGCACCTCCACTAAGTAACAACAAGGGCTGGACAGTTCAGTGTACAAAACTAACAATGATAACCCCCAAAGAGATGCTGCTTTTTAAAAATGTTCCAGAAACCCACTACTGATACTTGTGGGAATACACAGAGGTCAACTCAAAGAGGTTAAAAACCTATTTAAAAATATCACTTCCAAGTTTCTCAGTAGCTACATGTTATCACTAACACTATTTGCACTCCCTGAGCCATGCAGAGAGAGTAAATAAAGAGTGATGCTGATACTGCTCCTGAGACAATGTGCCTAAAAGAGATTATGTCTTACTGCAGGGCAGATTAAGACCCACCCTAATAAATCCAGTCTCACCCACACCCTACCACACCCCAAAAGACAAAAAAAGGAAAGCTTAGAGAAACAGGAGAAAAGTGACAATGAGCAAAAAAAATGTAGATCCTACAGTTTTAGCATCTTTGCAATTTTTGCATTATTCCATAATATTTTGCTAATTCCGTCTTATATTTGATCAGCATTTTTTCTTGTGTAAAGACCCAGCCAATGACTACCGCTGACACCTCATTCACCCCAATACAGCAGAATGTCAAAGCTTAAATGGAACCATTTCCATACTATTATTGTTTATTCCCCCCCTCATTTAAAATGAAGAGCAAGCAAATAAAACACACACACACACACACACACACACACACACACAGAGGAAGTAAGTGACTAGTTGTCTACCAAAAAGCAAATGCTTATCGGGTAATTGAGGGGGAACGTAACTAGTCCTTTTCCCCCACCCCCATTGCCCCTATCAGAGAGAGGTAGCAAGGGGAGGGTGCACAAGTCAGTGCTCAGGGAACGTAACTAGTCCTTTTTCCCCCCACCCCCATTGCTCCCATCAGAGAGAGGTTGCAAGGGGAGGGTGCACAAGTCAGTGCTGGGGGGAGCTGACTTAAAAGCCAGTTCCTGCCCACAGCACTGTCTCAGCGGGAAGCAGAGGGCAGTGGGAAAATGGCGTAAGTTCAGCGGGGGGCAGAGGGCAGTGGGAAAATGGCGCAAGTGGGGATTGAAACAGTCCCGCTCGTGCCGTCCAACTGTTGTGCCTCTCCCTTTGAAATGCACAAAGGCCGCCTATGGCTCTTAGACATTACAAAGAAGAGGCACAGAGGGGAACCCATGCCAGCAGGGACTGCTTTGGTCCCCACTGGCATAGGTTCCCACTATCTCTCTCCCTCTGAAAGATACAAGACCTGTGGGCGGCTCCTGTACATTTCCAAGAGAGTGAGGCAGTGGGAACCTGAGTCTCTCCCTTTGAAATAAACAAGAGCCATAGGTGGCTCCTGTGCATTTCAAAGGGAGAGGCACAGTGGGATAGCGAGTGCCCCTTATCGACTAATCGAGTAGTCAATGGAAATTCCATCAACTACTTGATTAGATGATTAATCAAAATTTAACATCCCTAACACACACACGCACAAAATCCCACCCTATGGAGCTGCACCGTTATAGCCTATTAGTAAAAAAATTACAAGTCAGAAAATGCAAGAAAGAGTTAACGTTTTCTATTAGGGATGCAAGTATCACCAGTAAGGGTGATGCTTATCACTAACCAGTTAACCAGCACCTGGCCTGGCTAGAGTAGCCTACCACCCATGTCTAGACCCATTATGGCATGCTGCAGGTGGGGAGCGCGCCAGCCCAGCTGGGCCCACCTTACCATGCCATAGGGCGCTCCAGCCCGGCTGTGCTCACCATACCATGGGCAGGTTGCTGCTCCGGCGGCCCTCCATCTACAGTGAGACATGGTGGGCAGTTAACCAGTTAAACATATTGTTTAACTCGTCAACATTTTAAATGCTATTTTACATCTCTATTTTCCATTCAGAGCTGTTTGTGAACAATTACTCCATCATAAAAT